CCGGGCGCCCGCCGCCGCCTACGCTGCTGCAGAAGCTGCTGTCAAATGAGATCAGGTGTGTGTGTGTGTGGGAGGGAGTGTGTGGGTGTATAGAAAATCGCGAGTATGTGGAGAGAGGGAGTGTGTGTGCGCGTGGAGGGAGGGAGGGAGTGTGTGTGCGTGTGTGCGCGCCAGGAGGCCGGCCAGCCTGCGCTGCCAGCGGTCCCCCGGTCGCCCCCGACCCGCTGCTCCGGCGCCGGCTGCCGCTCCTGCTGCCCAAAGGCTGGTGCCCGCCTGGCCGCCACTCCTGCTCTGCTGCCTGTGCTGTGCCCCGCAGGCAGGACCACAGCTACCTTCTTCAGGCCTTCCGCTTCTTCTGCCGCAACAACTTCCTGTTGGGATGGGCTGCCGGCACGCCCCTGGAGCTGCCCGCGCCCCCCGCCTACCCGCCGCCGCGGCCGGCGCAGTGGGGCCGCACGGCCGGCGAGGGCGAGGGCGAGGGGGCGGAGGGGGAGGCTGCGGCGCTCTTGTCGGGAGCGCTGGGCGGGGAGGTTGATGTGGATGCCCTGCTGGCGTCGGTGGCGGGCGATGCGATTGATGTGGAGCTTTCGGAGGAGGAGGAAGAGGAGGAGGAGGGGCTGCTGGTGGGGCCGGATGCTGCTGTCGCCGAGGAGGAGGAGGAAGCAGAGGAGGAGGAGGAGGAGGAGGAGGAGCAGGAGGAGGAGCAGCAGCAGCAGGCAGAGTACAGCAGCGGCAGCGACGAGGAGGAGGCGGCGGCCAACGGGGACGAGGGGTGTAGTGAGGCGGAGGAAGGGCAGCTGCTGCTGCCCGGCGCGACTGCTGGCGCCGACGGCGGCCTGCTGGCGGGCGGCGCTGCGGCGGATGAGATGGCGGTGAGCGGCGGTGGCGCAGCAGACGGTGCAGCCGATGATTCTCAAGGCCCAGAAGATTACATCGAGTTTTCTTGACCCCCTGGCACGTTTTCCCTTTCCCCGAAGCCGCCACAAGTCTTGCATCATGGGTCCCGTTTTGGGACAAAACCAGCCACCATTTTCTCTCGCTCGTCCTGCTGCTGTTTGATTCTGTTCCTCATTCTCAGACTGCTACTTCGCAGACTGGTACTGCTTGCCGCCGGTTCTTGCAACCACCGCTCGATGCCTAGGAGGGGCAGCAGCTGCGGTTGAGGGTGGTCCGCCAGGTCCAAATAAGAAGATTCCAAGTCGGGAGATCAGCAGGCACCTCTGGTCGCCAGCCGCAGATGGCTGCTGCATTGCATTCCATGCTGCCATCAGGCCCGGCCGCGGCTGCCGGGGCGCGACAGGCTGGCCCTGCGCGCGGCGGCCGCCTCTGCCGCACACACCGCCGTCGCCGCCGCCCAGATGGAGCTGGAGCTAGTGTGGGCGGAGAGGGACCTGGGCACCCTGCGGGGCAATGGCAGGGGAGAAGGTCGCTTCCAGGCACAGATGTACACATCCAAGCACCTCCGCAGCGCCCTTGCACCAACCCACACCTTGCCGGCGAGCTCGGGTCCGCCCCTGCGGGCTTGTTGGAGGAGGTCCGCCGCGGCACGCCAGCGCTGCTCTTGCCGGGCACGGCGGCGGGGCTGCGGGGGCGGCCGCCACGCGCACCCGCCGGCGGCGCGTCCCGCTCGCCGCTGCCGCTGCCGCTGCCTGCCAGGGCCAGGGCTGCAAGCGAGCCGTCCTCCTCGGCGACAGGCAGCAGCAGCGACAGCGAGGAGCGCTGCTGGCAAGCTGTGCTGTCCTGGCTCTGCAGCCGCCCAGCTCCTCCCTGGCTGCTACCGCGAGCAGCACTGCCTGGGCGGCTCTGCACCACAACACTGCCCGCCCGGCTCCCTGCCACCCCAGCCGCCTCCGCCGACGGCACCGGCGACAGCTGCCTGCTGCACCCCGGCCCCTGGCGCAGCCAGGGGTGCTGCAGCCCCCGCTCCAGAGTGATGCGCCTGGCGGGGTCTGGCCGCAGCAGCGCCGCCACCAGGTCCCGGCACTCCCCGCTGACCCCCGCCGGCAGCGGCGCATACTTGTTTCTGGCTGCGGCGCGCAGGATGGCGGGCAGGGTGGCCCCGCTGAAGGGCACCCGCCCTGCCAGCGACTCATACAACATCACACCCAGGCTCCACAGATCTGCAGGGGTGGCAAGTGCCACCGCTCAGCAGCATGCCACAGCAAGCGGGTGAGGGCAGGCGAGGCACAGCTGCTGGCCCGCAGGGCCCCGGGCCAGGGCGGAGCAGCCATGCCCTTGTGAGGCGGCGGCAGGCCGCCGTGCCACTCGCTGCTGGCCTCCTCGCCACCGCCACGGCATCCCACCATCGCACACCACTCCCCGGCTCACCCGCCTTGGCGCCATCACAGCTGGTAGAGAGCAGCAGGTCAGGAGCCATGAACTCTGGGGTGCCAGCAAGCGTGCTGACGCCGCCGTCAAAGGGCGTGAGGATGCTGGCCACCCCTGCGTGCCAGGCAGGCGGCGGCGGCGGCAGCACAAAGCGTGGCCAGATCAGGGCCGGCACAGCCATAGAGGCCAACTGCTGGCCCTGTGCGCTGGAGGACAATGAGCATGGGAGTCCCGCTGGGAGCCGAGGTTAGAGGGAGCCGAGCGGGCGCACACCCTAGCCCAGCCGCAGCGCCGCCCACGCTTGCCCCACCCACCAAAGTCAGCAACCTTTACTTCACCCCTCGCATCCAGCAAGATGTTTTCCGGCTTCAGGTCGCGGTGCACTGCGGGGCAGGGAGGGGCGGTCTGGCTGAGGAGGAGGGGCCGGGCGCAGCAGCCGGCGGCGCCGCGGCGAATGTCTGGCCCGGCTGACGGACATGGCAAAGGCGGCGCAGCCTGCGCGAGCTCCGCGTGCCCACCCACGCAGCGGCGGTGGCAGTACTCGACTGCCCGGAAGATTTGGAGGAAGATGCGGAGCGCCTCGGGCTCGGTCAGCGCGCCGCCCTCCTGCACAACGTGCATGGTGCAGTCCTTGCTTGCTGCGTCCACTTTTCCGTTTGAGTATGTAAGGGGTGGGTGCCCCTCTGCGGGAGCCAGCCAGCCAGCCCGCCAGCCACACACCTTGGAGCGCAGGAGCTGCTGCAGCGTGCCGCCGCCCGCGTGCTCCATGGCCAGCTGGATGTGGCTGTCGGTGAGCTGCACGTCCACCAGGCGCACAATGTGCCTGTGCTGCAGGCTGCCCAGCAGCGCAATCTCCTCCTGCACCGCCTCCACCTCCTCGATGCTGCGGAAGCGGCGGCAGTCCACGGCCTTGATGGCCAGCCTCTGGCCTGCAGGGTGGAGGGTGGGAGGCAGGCCCTGCTATATTTGACAGAGTTTCTTAGGCGTTTTCAGGGTGTTTCCACGGCAGAAACTCTGTCATATTTAGCAGGGAGGCAAAGTAGGCACAAAAGCGGAGCGACAACAGCTGGAACCGCGCTCCCAACGCCGGCCATGCATCACCACCCACCTGTCGCGGTGTCCACGCCCTCAAACACCTCTCCAGATGCACTCCTGCCGAGGAAGGCGCCAAGCTTGAACCTGCTGCCGCGGTCCATTGCCGTGCCGGGCCAGGCAGGGCGGCGGTCCGGCAGGGGCAGCGGGCGTGGCGCGGGCGGATGGTGGAACGGCAGGAGGGCGCCTTGGACGCACGCCGAGCTCTCTATTAGGCAAAAACAACCATTCTATGGGGCGTCAGGCGGCTCCGCCTCTCGACGAATGGCCCGGAAATGGTTCGACAAGCACACTGCGATGGCGGAGCCAGTGTGCGCCAAGAGAGCTGGCTGAAGAAATGGCTGAATTGCGAAGGAACGATGGCGCTGTTGGTTGCAGCGGGAGTGTGGTCTTTTAGACCGCAGCGGGCGCAGCGTGGCGGCGCCGCCGTCCTCGACGACTGCCCAGGGAGACGTCAATTGGTCACGTTACAAGCAGCACAGAACGCCGGCTGGAGGCAGGAAACGGAGCATCCAAAAACGAACAGCACACAGGGGAGGGAGCAAAGAACGCAACGACGCGCCACGCGCGCCGCTGGCCGGCCTCGGGCGCCGGCCCGGCGAGCGGCTCAGTAGGGCTGGTAGCCGCCGCGGCCGCGGCCGCGCCCCCGGCCGCCGCCGCCGTACGGCGGGTAGCCGTACCCAAACATGAAGGGCGGCATCATGGGCATCATGCCGTAGCCGCCGTAGAAGCCGCCGCGGCCGCGGCCGCGCCCGCCGCGCCCACCGCCGCGCCCCGCCTTCATGCCCGGCACGTTGGTGCGCTTGGGGGACACCTTGATGGCGCGGTTGCGCAGCTCGGAGCCGTCCAGCAGGCAGGCATTGGTGACCGCGTCCGCCTCCAGAAACTCGATGTAGGCAAAGCCCTTGGGGTTACCCATCTTGTCTGCGGTTGGCGGTGGGCAGTTGGCGGTTGGCGGTTGGCGGTGGGCAGAACGAGCGAAGCGGTGCCAGGGCAGGCAGGTGGCGTCCATAAAATCAAACCGCAGCGGTGGGGGCATAGCGGGCCACCCAAGTGCCTGGGCTGGCCATCCTGGCGCCCCTGCCCCTGCGTTCCCTTCCCCGCTCATCCCCCGGGCCTAGGCCTCGCCAGGCCGCCGCCCCACCCGGCCGCTGGCCCACCCACCGGTGAGGATGGTGACGCGGTTGACGGTGCCGCAGGACTGGAAGTGCATCTGGAGCTCCTCGGGGGTGCAGCTGTAGTCCACGTTGCCGACGTACACTGCAGGCGGGGCGGGGCGGCAGAGAAGGCAGCGGCGGCGGCGGTGTGGGTCAAGGCGCCAGGCGCGGCAGGGTGCGTGGCGTGGCGTGGAGCGGCGCGGTGGCAGCCCGGCAGGCCTGCGTCCTCGACGCCCTGCCTGCCCCCCGCTGCGCCGCGCCTCGCGGGCTGCCTGCTGCCGCCCACCTGATCTGCTGTCCGCCTCCTCCTTGGCTGCCGCGTCGACAGAGGGGCCACCGGGTGCTATGCCGGCCTCCTTCTGTGCCTTGTCCTGCATCTCTTTGAGCTTGGCAGCCTCCTTCTCCATGTCTGCCAGCCGCGCCTTCATCGCCTCCAGCTCCTGCTCCTGCAGGCGCGCATGAGAGCATGCGGCGCAGGGGATGGCAGTCAGCCAGGCAGCGCTAGTGGGCCACCAGAGTGCTTTTTTGTTTTTTTGGAGCCGGCTCCGTCCCTTGACGGGCTTCTTGAGGCTTTGTTTTTCTTTTCTTCTGCAGCATCCCACTCTTTTCGCTGCTGTTGTTAGTTTTATTTTCTTTTTTTCGTCTCAGCATGCAAGCATTGCTTGTGCTGAGCCCGGCGGCGGACGCACACGAGACACGTCCGCCGCCGCCCTCCGTCACCGCCCGCGCGCCAGGTGCGACTGAGGTGCGCCCTGCAGCCACTGTCCGCGCAGCGAGCTCTGCGGCGAGGTCCAACGTCCCTCCCCGCCCCGCCCAGCAGCCTCAGGGGCCACCACTCGCACCGCAGCCGCATCTCCATCCATGTCCACTGCACCTCCACCCTCCACCTCCAGGTCCGCCTGCAGGTCGCCCTCATACTGCTGCTCGTCGTCGGCCATGGCTGCTGCTGATGGCACTCTGCGGGCGAGATGCAAGACGGTGATTGCGCTGCTTCCTCGTCAAGCAGCAACCCGGCAGCTGTAGATGGGCGGGAGCCAGCGGAACAAACGAAAAGAAGCACTCGTGGAAGGCCAACTCGGACGGCGTCCGAGTTGGCCAATGGAGATTCAAGCACGCGGCGTGGGGAAGCGGTCCACAGCCTCTCTGCATTGAGTGCGCACCCTAGCCGCGCCCAGGGCCCACCCGCTGCCCTGCCGCAACAATGTGGTGACAGGCGGGGCCTGTGGCCGCCTGACGCCGCTCGATCACAAGACTAGCGAAAGGGAGCCCGCAGGACGGCGATGTTCCACCGCAGCTGCGCCTTCTGCGCCCAGCCAGCCGCCGCCGCCACCAACCTGGGCCCGCTCCTCGGCCCCATACGCGACAGCAAGAACAGCGCGGCGGACGACCTCTATGCGCACCGCCTGTGCGCGCTGTGGAGCTCAGAGGTGGGGGACGTGGGTGCTGGCAGGGAGGGCACAGGGCCTGCCCGCCTGTGTTGTTTGTGGCTGCGGCAGGGAGCACCGTCAGTTTCCTTCGCCGTGTGCTGTTCCCTGGACAATGAAATTGCTCGCCCACCCTGCTCCTGTTGCCTGTAACCCCCCACTCCCCCTTTTCCGCCCTAAACAGGTGTTTGAAACAGACAACGGCACGCTGCGGAATGTGCTGGCCGCCATCAAGCGCGGGCGGCTGATGAAGTGCGCCCACTGCGGGCGGCGCGGCGCCACCGTGGGCTGCCGCGTGCCCAGCTGCAACTGCAGGCAAGCCATCCGCATGCTTCCTGCCTGCTGCTCCCGCGCTGCAGCCTTTCAAGACATACTGGTGCAGCATGATGCTGCGGCATGCGCGTTCGGTTGGCTTTCCAGGTGTTGCTTTCCAGAGGCAAACGCAACAACGAGGCCTCCGACACCCCCCCTCCCTTCCCCTGCCCTGCTCCCCTGCCGCAGCTACCATGTGGCCTGCGCCAAGGATGCCGCCTGCACCTACTACTGCGACCAGTTTCAGATAGCCTGCCCTGCCCACGCACGCCTGTTCCGGGAAGAGAGCCAACAGCAGTGCAGGTAGGTGGGTGGGTGGTGGTGTGTGTGGGGGGCACAGCATGTGTGTTTTTGCAGCAGCAGCAGCAGCAGCTTTTTCTTCCGTGGTTTGCACGTCGAGTGGCAAGGAGTGAGGGCTTGGCAGCGTGTTGAAAGCCATGTGTGCGTCCCGGCAAGCTGGCCGCCTGTGGCCGGCAGGTCCCGAGCACCAGTTGTTTTCATCCGGCGCCGCTGCTGTAGGCGGACGCCCTTCACGCCCTACCGCCAGGCCCCCGCGGAGGCTGCAGCCGACAGGCTGGGGCCGCCGGGGATCGGCGGCCGTGCCAGCAGCGGCGAGCCGGGGCAGACGCCCGGCGGGGGCGGCCAGGGGGAAGCTGATGACCTCATGTCGCCACCCACCGAGCTGCCGGTCCTGGCGTGAGTGCAGGCTTGATGCTGCTGCACCTGCCTGGGCCGTGTTTGCTGCTCAAGCGTCGCAGTGCAGGGCTTGTCACCAGCAAGCCGGGTCGCACGAGCGTTCTGCGGCTGCTTTCGGTGTGCCCCCGTTGAGCTGCTGCTGCTGGCGTGCAGGGGCCGCAAGCGGGGGCGGCGGCAGGAGGCGGCACGGGAGCACATCGTGCGGGCGCGGGCCGTCCTGAAGCGCGCCCGCCGCGACATGGAGCGCCAGCGGTGAGAGGCTGCCCTGGGTGCTTGGGCTGAGCTCTGAGCTGCCGCGCCTCGCCTGGCTGCTTACAGTGCTGGGCCGAGCAGCAGCTGTGCCTGCCGCGGAGCCATCAGGCGTGGTAACACTGGTTGTAATGTCTGTTTTATGGGTGCAGGCGCAGGGCGGCAGAGTCTTCGGATGATGATGAACACTTTCAGAAGAAGGAGTCTCGCCGCCTGGCGCGCGACACAGGTAGTAGTGCGGGGGCCTGGGGCCGACCCCACGTGGGCGTGGGTGCGCCTGCCGGCCTGCCCTGGCAGAGCCTGTGCGGCATGCAGCCCCCCCTGCATCGCCCCGCCAGCGGCGCGCCCTTGACGCCAGCGCCACGGCCTGCTCCCGCCGCCTGCCGTGCAGCCAAGCTCAACCCCATCACGCTCGTGGGCGACGGCACCGCCGTGCAGCATGTCTTTCTCAAGTCGCCGCTGCCTGGGGCGGCTGCCCACAAGTCCAAGGAGCCGGGCGCGGGAGGTGAGGGCATGGGGCTGTGGCGGTGGCTGTGGTTTTAAGGCTGTGTGCATCTCTCAGCTGCTTTGCGGCGGGAAAGGCGACGCGGGGAAAGGTGCGGCGCCATGCAAAGCCCCTGCGCTTGTCCTTTTTTTGCATGAATGCGCTCGCCATTGCCTGCACGCCTTCCTTACCGGCGATGTGCGAGTGCAGGCATGGGCATGCTGGAAGGCGTCCAGCGCCACCCGCGCGCCTCGGGGCAGCAGCAGCAGCAGCAGCAGCCTACGGTCGAGACGGCGGTGGTGGGCAGCATCGCGACCACCGACTTCAGCAGCGTGGCGGGGCTGGGTGCGCACCCGCCGCTCCCTTTCCAGCATCGCCTGTGCTGCCTGCCTGCCTAGGGGCGCTACTGCCTACTGCGCTGCCGCTTTTTGTGTATGCTCCTCCGCCTTGCCCCCCTTGCAAACGCGCGCATGGCTTGCCTTGCCTCGACCCATCCCGCCCGGGCCCCACCCCCGCTGCAGACGAGGTGGTGCGGCAGCTGCGTGAGATGGTACTGCTGCCCATGCAGTACCCCTCGCTGTTTGAGAGCATGGGGCTGAGGCCGCCGCGGTGAGGCACCATCGCGCGCCTCCTGCTCCCGCCTCCAACCCTCTCTCGTTCCGGCTGCAGCAGCTGCTGCGGCGCCTGTGCCCTTGCTTATGCCTGTGTTGTGGCTGAAGGCTGAGGCCTGGCGCGCGCGTGCCTGCCCGGCTCCTGCCCGCAGTGGCATTCTGTTCCACGGCGTGCCGGGCACGGGCAAGACGCTGGTCGCGCGCGCGCTGGCGGGCGCCTGCGCCAAGCACTCCCCCACCCCCGTCACCTTCTTCGCCCGCAAGGGCGCCGACTGCCTGGGCAAGTTCCACGGAGAGGCGGAGCGCACGCTGCGCCTGCTGTTCGAGGAGGTGCGACGCGCTGTGCGCGCTGTGGTCGTGCTGCGGTCGCGCTGTGGTCGCGCTGTGCTGGGCGACCGGTGCCGGCGGCGTCACCGAGTTGGTGCGACATGATGTGCTGGGACCGGCTGGCGGCGTCGGCAGGCCGGGCCAGCGGCCGCTCCCACCAACCGCCTGCTGCCTTGTTCATCATGCATACTCGCCTCTTGCCCGCTGCCCCGGCGGGGCGCCACCCCTACGCAAGTGCAGGCCTCCCGCCGCGCCCCCGCCATCATCTTTTTGGATGAGCTCGATGCTCTGGTGCCTGCCCGCGCCGCCCGGGCCGGCGGCTCGGACCAGATTTATGCCTCAGGTACGCGCGTGTGTGCTCTGCACTGCCGCTGGTCGCCACCCTTGTCCATATGCCACCTTCCGAGCGTGCATGTGCCTCCCCGCCTCCCCGCCCACCGCAGTGGTGTCCACGCTGCTGTCGCTGATGGATGGCGTGACGGACCGCGGCAGCGTGATTGTCATCGGCGCCACCAACAGGTGGGCAGCGCAGGGCCTGTGGGGGTGCAGCGGAGGAAGGCCGAGTGCGGGGAGGCGGCCAATCGGGCTGGGCAGGATCCCTGGCTGCCAGCAGCATCCCCAGTGGCTGTTCGGAAGGGGCCAACTGCGGCACCTCCTCGCCTGGCTGTGTGTGCAGACCCGAGGCAATCGACCCCGCCCTGCGGCGGCCCGGGCGGTTCGACAGGGAGGTGCGCCCAGCTCTGCCCCGCTGCCTGACGCCAGCTCAGCCGGCCGCCTGCGCCTGCTGCCTTGCTGCTTCTCCAATGTATTTTATCTATCTACATATATATATACATGCATGTATATGATTAATACAGAGCTGCAGCCAGCTGAGCCACGCCGGCGCCCTGTTGCTGCCCCTCTTGCCCCCCACCGCCTGCCGGCCGCAGGTCTACTTTGGGCTGCCCACCCCCGAGCAGCGGCTGGCCATCCTGCGGGTGCACACCCGGCGCTGGGCGCGGCCGCCGGCGGAGCAGCTGCTGCGGCAGGTGGCGTCGCGGGCCGAGGGCTTTGCGGGCGCAGACCTGCAGGCCCTCTGCACGGCTGCGGTGATGGCCGCGGTGCGGCGCAGCTCGCCGCTGCTGCTGGAGCGGGCGGAGCGGGAGGCCCGGGACGCAGGCGCGGGGCCGGCGGATGCCCTGCCTGCCCCTCCCCAGCAGCAGCAGCAGCAGCAGCAGCAGCAGCAGCAGAAAGCGGCTGCTGGAGGGCAGCAGGACCAGGCCAGCGGCCAGCAGCAGCAGCCGCAGGAGCAGCAGCAGGCGGATGAGGAGGAGCAGCGGCGGCGGCAGCAGCTGCTGGATGGTATTGAGGTGCAGGCCTGCGACTGGCGGGAGGCGCTGGCAGGGGCACCGCCGCCCTGCTCCCGCCGGGCCGGCATGGCCGCCCTTGCGGCAGAGGCGGCGGCGCCGCTGCGGCAGCACGCGCTGCTGCTGCTGGCGCGGCCGCTGGCGCAGCTGCTGGCAGCTCTGGATGCGGCAGATTTGCCGCTGCCGCCGCCAGCCGCCGCCGCGGCACGTGCGGCGGCGGCGCCAGCGGCAGGTGGCGCAGGTGCTGCTGGCAAGCCGGAGCATGGTGCGCTGTCAGATGCGGCAGCGCAGCAGCAGCAGGAGGAGGAGCAGTGGCAGCAGCGGGAGGCGGAGCTGGCAGCCGTGCTGCTCCAGCACGGCGCGCTGCTGGCGCCACCTGGCAGCCCCAGCGCCGTCCCCCGCGAGGCGCTGCCACCCGCTGGCGCACCAGCCCCGGCAGGGGATGGCGCCGGCGACGAGCGGCGGCAGATGGAGCGCCTGGGGCGCAGCTACACCCCCTGCCGCCTGCTGCTGTGGGGAGAGGGGGAGCAGGGGCAGGAGGTGGCGTCGGGGGCGCTGCTGAAGCTGCTGGATGGTGAGCGGCGTTTCCCCTCTGTTGACGGTTGCTTGCGTGGTTCTGCTTATGACTTGTTTCTTTCTTCCCGGGGCCGAATGGCACTGGCTGCACCGCTCAGCAGGAGCGTAGCATGGCTTTTGCGTGGCAGGGCTGCCGGCGCTGCTAGCCAAGCAGCCCTTCCCGAGCTCCGCTGCCGCTGCAGGCTGCCCCGTGCACTGCCTCAGCCTGCCCAGCCTGGTGGTAGAGGGCGGCGAGGATGCCGCCGCCGGCTGCGTGGCGCTGGTCGGTGAGGCGCTCAGGTGGGGCGCGCTTTCTTTCCTCAGGCGCCACCATGCCGCCCCTTGCGCGCTTCCAAGCGTGCAGCCTGTGGCCACGTGATGTCTGGTGCGGGGCGAGGTGCGCGCATCGCTTCCTTGGCCCATCGGCGCCTGACACGGCGCGCCATGCTTGCCCTTTCTTGCAGGCGTGCCAGCCCCCACACACCCTGCGTCTTCTACCTGCCCCGCCTTGAGGCCTGGGCCCTGTCCAAGGTAGGTCCCACCCCCTTGCTCATCGATTTATCATAGTTGCCTGCTGTGGCACGCGTGCTTGCTGGCAATGTGTGTGCTTGCTGGTTCAGCCGCCTCCTCACCTCTACTTGCATCCTTCTCCTGCTCCTCCCCCTGCCATGCCTGCAGGCGCGGGTGCCCCCAGAGGACCTGCAGCAGGCGGGCTGGTACAGCCGCCTTCCGGGCGACGCCAGCCAGGGGCGGCAGGGGCCCGAGGGCGGCGACGGGCAGGAGCCGGCGTCGGCGCGGCACGCAGGCCTGCTGTCCCCCAGCTTTAGCACCAAAGGTTGGCGCCGGATCGTTCCGGCCTGCAGGGCATTGGCGCCCTTTCCGGCTGCATGGGCGGGGCATGCGCCGGTGCAGGGAATGTTCCGCCGGCAGGGCCCTGGGCCTGCAACCAACCGACATTTTCCACCCGCCCCGCCCGCCTTCCCTTGCCTTGCAGTCACCTCTCCCCTGGGCGCCTCCCCCGGCCACCGCGGCTTCCTGGTGGCGCCCTCGCCCTTCAGGCGCGCCCCGGGCAGGGCAGCTGTGTTGGCGCTCGGGGCGACCTCCCAAGTCAATGCATGGGGGGCCACACACGAGGAGAAAGGGGGTCCCTGCCTGCCTCCATTTCTTTGATTTAGAATCTGGTTGCGCCGTGATGCCACGCTGTGTGCCACATCCCGCTATGTGTGCAGCGGCTTGCTGCCTCTGGAGGAACGGGTGGCCAACACGCCGGCTGTGGCGCGCTCCCTGCGCTCTGCCACACAGAAGCAAGCAAGGGCCGGCGTCGCTGCCCGCGCCGCCGACGCCGGCGCGGAGGAGGGTGGTCCCACCGCGCAGGAGCGGCAGCGGCACACCAGCACGGCAGAGCCGGGCACGGCGCCGCGGCCGCCGCGCCCGCCCGCTGCCGCCGCCGCCGCCGCGGCGCCTCCCTCCGGCCTACCGCCCATCCGCACGTCTCCCGACCAGCAGCAGCAGCAGGCGGCGGCGGCGCAGGCGGCGGCGGCGAGGGAGCTGCTGCGTGGGGAGTGGGGCGGCGAGGGCGGCGGCGGCGGCGATGAGGGGTCTGGCTGTGCAGAGGTGGAAGTGACATGCCTGTCCCAGGCCTGGAGAGTGTTTGATTCCCTCATGCGCCAGGTGCCGGCCAGCCAGGTAGGTTGCGGCACAGCCGGCGCCGCCCGTGCCGCTGCCTCTCCCGGCCAGGCGCTCGCCTGCTGCCTGCTGCCGCAGCCGGCATCCCACACAATGTGTTGCCCCCAGCCCCACTCCCCTCTTGCCTGCAGCCTGTCATTGTTCTGGCCACCTGCCACACGGCGGCGGAGGGCACGCCAGCCAACCTGGCCCAGTTCTTTGCTGGCCCGGCCCTGCCAGCAGACGGCCAGCAGCGGCAGCAGGAGGGGAAGGAGCAGCGGCTGCTGGCCCTGCTGGGGCTGGGCGGAGAGGCCCCAGCAGATGCCGACGCAGTGGCAGCCCCCAGCATCGTGCGCATGCAGCCGCCGCGACCGGCCGCCTGGCAGCGGGCCGCTGAAGCGGCGGCGGAGCAGGCGGCCGCTGCCGTGGCCGCCCACGCCGCGGCGCTGCTGCACCGGCGGCTGTCGGCCGATGCCGCTGCACCCGACGCATGCGCCGAGGCAGGCGCAGCAGGCGCAGCAGGTGCCCCGGCTCCCACCACCGGCGCTGGACCGCAGCAGGAGCCGCAGCCGCAGCTGCCAGGCTCGCCTCGGCGGCAGGAGCAGGCGCAGGGTGGTGCGGCGGAGCCCCAGGCTGCTCAGTGCAACACAGCGGAGCTCGAGCAGGGCCTCCGCTTGTTTGGCCGGCTGCTGGCCTTCCAGCAGCGGCTGGCCGCCTCGCTGCGTGCGCAGCGGGTGGCGGCGCTGGATCGCTGGGCGGCGGGCGCCGGCGGCGGCGCGCGGCGGCGCTCAGGTGGGGGGGCTCTGCTGCGCCGGGGGGCACAAGTAACAACCCTAAGGCGCTGCTCGTGCGTGGAGTGGAGGCGTCTCTTCTTCCTGCACGTTTCCGCTCAGGAAACATCCCCCTGCTGCTGGTCTGCTGCCGGTCGAGTGAAGCGGCGTGCTGCCCTGTGCCCCTGCGCCTGCCACTCCCGTCCCCGCCCCCCCCCCCTTGCCTGCAGGCGCGGCCGCCCCGCCCGCCTTTTCCGAGATCGCCCAGCGGTGCCAGCAGGGCGGGTACGACGGCGTGGATGAGCTGCAGGGCGCCGCCGCCGCCGCCGCCGCCCACGTGCTGGCGGCGGCAGCGGAGGAGCGGCAGCGGGCGCGGCAGGAGCAGCGACGGGGCGGGCGGCCGCCATCACCCGACTATTACAGGTGGGGGCTGAGGCAGGCTGTGGTGGAGGCGGCGGCGGGAGCGGCCTCTCAGCCGCATTTCCCCCTGCCGGCGGGATGCCCTCCCTCTTTCTGTTGATGCCGCCCTGCCCTCTGCCCGGGCCGCCGCTGCCTCACCGACGCCGCACGTCTGCGCTCCGTCCCGCGCTGCGCCTGCTGGGCTGCAGCGAGCAGGCGGCCGCGGCGGTGACGGCGGCCTGCGCCGTGCAGGACAAGGTGGATGCCGCCTGCTTCTGGCTGCGCCAGCAGCTGCAGCTGGGGGAGGAGAGCAATGTGCGGCTGCTGGCCGCGGCCGCGGCGCACGTGCGCACGCTGCAGCGGCGGCAGCAGGCAGAGGTGGAGGCGCAGCGGCGGCAGCAGGCGGCCGAGGAGCAGCAGGAGCGGGAGCTGCAGAGGATTGAGGCTGAGCAGGAGGGCGCTGCAGCCGATGCTGGGCAGCAGCCCGAGGAACGGGAGGAGCAGCAGGCGGAGGGGCAGCAGCAGGACGCAGGTACTGGTGAAGTCGCGGTGGGCGATGCCAGCAGGGCAGAGTGTTCCGAGCGGCAGGAAGATGGGCCTGGTCCGGCAGAGCCGAGTGCTGCCATGCCGCCACACCCGCCAGCGCCTGAGCAGCAGGAGCGAGGTCAGCAGCCGGATGCGTCTGCGGCTGCTGCACAGCAGCGGCAGCAGCGGCAGGTTGTGGCGGCAGCGCATCGGCTGCGCCGCCAGCTGTGCTGGCTGCTGGCGCCCGCGATGCGCCAGCGGCTGCCGCCACCGCCCGCAGCGCTGGGCGGCACCGCCTGGCAGGTGCTGCAGGAGGCGGTGGGGCGGCTGAGTGCGGCGGCGGCCGCGGCCTGTGGCTGGGTGGTGGCCGAGATGGACTTCTTGCAGGGCATGGAGGGGGCAGCAGGCTGGATGACAGCGGGGCAGGAGCAGCGGGTCGAGGAGCTGGCGGCGCGGTGCTTGGCGGCGTTTGAGGAGGGCGGGGGCAGCTGAGCGCGGCATCGGCTGCTTAGGATGCCGGTCTGTGTCTGTGGAAGAGTTAACGCCTGTAAATGGCTGCCTGCTCGTACACAAGTCCCCCCACCACCACCACACAACCCCCCGCCGCGGTAGCGGCTACCGCCACCCAGTTTAGAGGCGGTCACAGCGCACGCGTCGTACGCCTACAGTAGGCCGTAACAAGCCCCATTCATAGATCGTGTGAATGTTCGAGGGCGTTTAAGTGCCAGAGAGAGGGCACGACTACTCAGTGTGACCGCTCAGCGGCTAACCGCTGCGCACTGAGCCCCTCTTCCGTTCTAGCGTCCCGCTCTGTGAAAGAGCCACCGCGTTGGGGCCTCCGCCACCCTAGCGCATCCCGCGCCAGACCTAGAGTTGGTGCTAGTACTAGAGCACTTGTGTCCTCTTCTGAGCACAATTTGCCGGTGGCCCGTAGCCCCAAAGGCGAAGGCGCCGTGGCGGCAGCGGTTGCCCGGTGCCTGCGGCCGCCGGCGTGCGGCGCTGCCGCACGGGCCCAGCCCGGCCCAGCCCAGCCCAGCCCGGGGCGCTTCCCACCATGTCGCTGCAAGGCGGCCCGCGGGACGACTTCCGCGTGCGCTTCAACCTCACCGCCACGTTTCTCTTCGGACGCCTGGATTGGGTTTTCGTTGTGCGTAGCCTGCACCTTAAATACTGGTCGCCCGCCGCCTTGCAGCGGCGGCCGCAGCAGCGCTGAGCGCGTTCTTGCTTTGATTTCGCTGTCTGGAGCCTCCTGCCCTGAGCATTGCCACCCCGTCCTTCGTGGCGCGCCTGCAGGTGTATGGCATCGTGAGTGTGCCCTGCGCCGGGTACCCGCCCTTGTTGCCGCCACCCTGTTCCCTGCGCTGGCCAGGGGCCATGGTTGCTGCCTGCCTGCAGCTTCGCTCCCATCTCACATCCATCCCCTGCTCCCCTTGCGTGCCACAGGCTGCCCTGTTTCGTTTGAGGACGTACCTCTCCCCTGGGGCGTCTGCCTACATTGTGGGCCAGGTGGTGGCGGCTCTTGCCAGCCTGGCCTGGTGCCACAGCTGCCGCGACAGGCCTGACGGCGGCAGCCACGCCCGCTGGCGCGAGCCGCTTGCCGGCGCGGTGCGGCTGGCGGGGTTTGGGTTTGGAGCGGCGTGGGTGATGTCCAGGCAGTTTGTGGATGGGCTGGGCTCCAGCCCGCTGGTTTCCCTGGGTGCGGCATACAACGGGACCCTGTTTCTGCTGTGCACCGGCGTGCCCACGGCGCTCCTGCTGTGGTTCAAGGTCCTCCGCATCAGGTGGGCGGGCTGGCGGCAGAGCATGGCGCATGCTGCAAGTGGCTGGCTGCGGCGCCATGCAGCCGTGGGCCCGGCTGTTGAGCAGCAGCGGCGGCATCGCCATCCAGGGCATGGACCGGCCTGGCGTGCGTGCCCGCCGCCTGCCTGCAGCTGGGCGGCCCCCATTCAGCTGGCTGTCATCCTGCACAACGTCTCCTACAGCGCCTACGTGTGCGCCTCGCCCACGCTGTCCCACGCGGCCATGCGCCGCCTGACGCACCACCTCTTCCAGCTGCTCAGCCTGCTCCGGTCGGCGCTGGACCCCGCGGGCGCAAAGTGCGGCGCGGCTGCCGCGCACGGCACAGCAGAGTGCAGCGCGCTGGTCGCATTCATGCAGCTGGCGTGTGGCTTTGCGGCGCCGGTGGCGGTGCAGGCGTGCTGGGAGAGCAGACTGTTTGAGGAGCACCAGCGGCAGCGGCAGGAGCTGGGCCTGCCCTCAGAGCAGGGGCTCCTGGCCCAGCTGTACTCCAGAATCAGCAAGAGCGCCCCCAAGGGGGGACTGGCTGCGCTGGTTTGGGCCCTGTGGCTCGCCATTTTGTGGGACTTGTCCCTGGTGCTTACGGCGTCCGGCAGCCACCTTGGCGCCGTCATCAACGCACCCCTGTAACCTTGTGTGTGTTCGAAGATTTTTGCACACTGCCCTGGTTTTTAATGTCTCCCTCCCAAGCTGCATCATCGCCCGTCCTCCTCCATCCCTCAAGTCTCCGCACCTTTTGTTTTTCGAAATAATGTGTTTTTCCCTTTATCAGGCACATGCTTTCAGGCACCTCTTTCAGGCACATGCTTTTTTTCCTCGGTGCACTTCTGCTTCTTTCTTTCTTCTTTCGGCGTTTAGGTCGGCGGGCCGACGTTGCTAGCCACACCGTCCGCCGGCGCAGCACACCATCATCACCGCATCCCGTGCTGGGTGGTTCATATCTTGCTCTGCAGGTATTAAGGAATAACCATCCTCACTTGACCAACGAGTGCTCTGTAATTCAACCATTACTGCATTTGGGGTGGCGGAGAGCGCCTCCCGCCCTCCGCGTTTTGCCGCTTGGCGGGCACCTGGCGGGCGGCACAGCTGTACACTCTTCCTCTTCTTCTGCAGGAGGCACCGCCCTCAGGGCCTCAGCCAGCACAGTCGTATTGTGGAGCCAGACAGACAAGGCCAAAGCACAGGTTGTGGTGGCGGCGCGTGGAGATGGCGGCCCTCTCGACCACCTACGCCACCGCCAGGCACTCTAGCTGCCGCTGCACTGGGGCCGACCTCAACCTGGTCGCGCTCCATCGTCCAGGCGAGCGAACGCCAGCGCCTCGCCGCTCTCGCTCCTCTCTCCTCTCTCTCCTCTCCTCTTTGTCTCCCTCCCACGCTCACAACCACTGTGCTGCAGGGAGGGGCGATGCTAGCGTGGGCCGGGGGGCTTCCAACGGGACCTACGGGCGCCACGGGAGCAACGGAATGGGCGGGCGCTCGCAGCGTTTCTCAGGCAAGGCCTGTCCACAGGCTGCAGTGCTTGTGTTCCCTCTTTGGCTGAATGCACACTCGTGCCTGCCCACTGAACTCAGTTCAGTTTTCAAGGCTCATTTCTCTGTTGATCCCCTGGCTGCAGACAGCTCGCCCATTCGCTTCTCCGCCGGCGCCCCCCCTGCGGCGCCCCCCTCCAGCCCAAGCCGTCATCGCCCTGCGCACCAGCCTGCGGCCTCTACTGGTGACGGCATTGCCGGCGGCGGCGGTGCTGGCGACGCTGGCGGCGGCGAGGAAGGCGATGGTGAAGGCGATGGGCGTGGCCAGCAGGCAAGCATGCTTCGCAGCACCCACCTGCCGCCTGTCGCATGCTCTGCTGTTTACGGCCCTCCGGACGGCTGCTGCGCCGAGCCATTTCACCTGCACACAGTGCGCCCGCCTTGCCTGGTGCATGGGGTGGGGTCACGTCAGCTGCTGCTGTATGTGCGCATGTGTGCTGCTCAGCCGGTGGGACAGCCAGCAGCCCTGCCATGCCCCAACCCGCGCTGGCACCCAGCTCGCTGGCACCCAGCATTGACCCGGCCTGCTTGCCGCCTGCAGAGCTCCCTGCCCCCAGCCATGCCCAAGAAACCGAAGATTTGGGAGGTGATGAGCCAGAAGTTTCCCGACTTGGAGGCGTCCCAGGTGTACTACACGCTGGGCACCGGGGTGTGCGCCGCGGTGCCAGCCGGCGCCGGGTACTTCTTCCGAGCCTTTTCAGATGGCAACGACAAGCACAGCACGCTGAAGGACAGCGTCACCACTGAGCTGTGCGCGCTCAAGATGCAGTATGTCCAGCTTGACTGCAAGCTGGACAAGCTCGACAGCAGGATGACCCAGCTCGACACCAAGATGGACCAGGGCATGAGCCAGCTTGACTGCAGGATGAGCCAGCTTGACGAGGGGATAAAGGGCCTCCGACAGGAGCTCAGCAGCACGGTGCAGCTGGTGAGCAATGCCAAGGCCGTGGTTGGCTGCGCGGCCGTCGGGGGTGTCATATATGCCTTCTACACTAGGCGCTAGCTCGCACCCTTCCGCCTAGACTTTGTGCAACTTGAGCGAACACGTCTTTGCCATACCATCATCACAATGCCTGATTCTTTTGACTGCTTGTACACCTCTCACCTTGCTGGTCCTATAAGCTTGTACCACCACTCCTCGCGTTCTATTGACTGTTTTACACCTCTTACCTTTCTGCTCCTATAAGCTCATACCAACACTTCTCGTGCGATTCTGTAACTGTTTCCTGCCTGCAACAAACAGAGGCCTGCACGTCATTCCGGGCTGGCAGCAGCTGGTATCCCAGCCCCTCAGCTGCTGGTTGGCGCTAGCGATGCATGGCGTCCGACGGGTCTTCCCCTGCCATCAGCATTCAGTGCCCGGTGTGTTCCATCCACAGGTTCCAGCAGCGCAGACACAAGCAGCAGTAGCTGTGGTTGCTGTTTGTTTCAGGGAGGGCAGGCGAGGAGCGACGGCGCCTCGCCAGCTGTCGCACAGCGGGTGTAGCAGAGGCGCTGAAACCGGGGCGGGGCATCCCACATCTTGCGGCTGCATTACAATCCTGTGCTGGCCTACCTAGCACAGGTATTCAGTAACAGGCGTCCTAGGGCGAGAGGGCCTGGGATGATGACCGCTGGTCACAATTGTGTTGGCAGAACAATGCAACACACAGCTGCACTGGAATGGGCACCGGGGAGCTTGTTGGCTCGCTCACGGCCAGCATTGCCCAACGGGTGGCAGTGTGGTGCCGGCAAAACGCACAGCAAGCGCACTAAAGGCACTAGAAGTGACACCACACAGCCAGCCAGCCCACTGCTGCCTCCTAGGACACTTGCCCCACTCTTTGCCTGACTGCCTGCCTGCCAGTCTGCTGGCACTATTTGGCTGCTTGCAGCGTCTTGAATCCCAAGCAGAGCATGCCCAGGAGCTAGGCAGCCGCCAGGTAGCCGGGCTGTGCCTTAACTGCCAGGTTGCTGCCCCCCGCGCTGCCCGGTGCTGTGCCTGCATCCAGGGCCGCCGCCATGCGCCAGTCCACGGTGCCCAGCCTTCAATTCAGCAGGGGAAGGGAGCAAGGCAGGCATGGTTGGGTGGTCGCTGCTGCGGACAGGTCTGCTTGCAGCAAGCAACCAAAAGCCAGACGTGCCACGCAGCCCCCCCGGAGGCACAACCAGCCAAGGTGCTTCAACACAGGGCCGTCGACAGCGACGCAGCCAGGCTGGGCCAACTGCCTGGCATCAGCTCTGCACCTCGGCGGCAAGCAGAGAAGGGCAGCCAAGCCACCAGAGCCCTCGCTATCAGCCTGCCTTGACTGGCACCATCAGTGGCACCTTGACTGGCACCGCTGCTGGCACGCAGGCTGGGCGCGAGGCGGGAGCTGCGGCAGGAGGGTGTCCCGCAGCTGGTGGGGGGGAAGGCTGTTGGTGGGCACGCAGGCGCTGCTGGGCTGCCACCTGCTGACCTGGCGCCAGGCGAGGAGCGCGGCCTGCACGCTTTAAAGCGGCGCCCGAGGCGGTGGCAGGCGAGTGCTGCGCTGCGCCGCTGCCCTGCTGCTGCAGCGAGGCGGGCGCCGCTGCGCCGCCGCCACCGCTGCCGCCAGACCTGCGGCACGCTGCGCTGGCGCCCAGCTGGCACTCAGGCGGTGAGCAGGGCTGCTCCGCGGGGCTGCTGGCTGCACTGTTGCTGCGGATCTCTAGATTGGTGGCTAGGGCGCTCCAGCTGCCACTGTCATGAAGATCGATGGCCGACGGTTCCAGCCTGCCCTCTGGGCACGGCCCTGCTTGGTGGTGGTGCCGTGAGGAGCACCTGGCCCGTGAGGAGCACAGGGCCCTGCTTGGCTCCCCCGCCGCCAAACTGCCTCAGCCCCAGCCCCAGCATCCCACCTGCCCGCCGCCGCGGCCTGTGGCTGCGGTCTCGGTCGCGCGCTGGCGGCGCTGCCCTCGCCCGCTGCTGCCTCCATCCATTGCCGCCTCAAGGCAGGCAGATGTCTCGCAAGGCACCCACTGCTCCGGCGCCGCCGCCGCCGCCTGCTGCGCCTGCTTCGCCTGCCCCGGAATGGAGGGCCCACGATGCACCTGCGCGCCAGGCTGACGTCCCGCCGCCCATTGCGATGGCGCAGCTTCTCCAGGCAGCTGGCCCGCACGCTGTGGCGGCGCGCTGGGTGGCCTGCGCCATGAAGGGGTGTTGGGAGGAGGTGGCGAGGGAGGAAGCGGGAGCAGGTGGGTGGCCAGCCAGCCCATGCCCCGGTTGGTGGCAGGACGTGGCGCCAGCAGGGGCCACCTCCTCTGTCTGGATGCATGCCCTACGCCTTCCTCCCTCCGCTGCTGCCCCTGCACGCTGCCGCCGCACCTGGGTTGTTGCGCTTGGGGAAGCATGCATAGCCCAGGCTTTGCGGGTGAGAGCCAGTGCAGGCGGGTCCAGCTGGCTGCCTAGGGTGCGGAAGCAGGCGGGGCGCCGCGCCCTCAAGTTTCCTCGCAGCAGCTGCGGGGCGCAGGCACGGGTGATGGGGGTGGTGCGAGCCGGGGCAGGGGGCAGGGGAGAGGAGAGTCCCAGAAAGGATGATGCGACGCAGCTGGCTGAAGCTGGAAGCTCTGAAGCTGCCGCCGTCGGCGGAGAGGCGGCGCCTGCTGCAGTGCCGCGAGGCTGCTGTGCTGGCCAGCCAAAGCCGCTGACCGCCCCCACAGCACTCACAGTCAGACCCAGCTCCATGCCGGTCCAGGAGAGGCAGATGATGTGCTGCAGGAGGCCCGACGGCAGAGGCACAGAGGGGTGGCCACCGGTGTGGGTGCTGGCGCCGTCGCCGAGGTGCCCAGGCGCGCCAGCAGCTCACCAGGGCCCAAACGCCGGGCGCTGCGACAGCTCTGCGCCAAGCAGGCAAAGAGGGGTGGGTGAGGCCCTGCCAACGGGTGGCTCCTCAGCGCCCTGGCCAGTAAACTGCCATGCTCGACTCCAGGTCAGTGCAGGTAGGCAAGAGATGAGGCAGCATCACAGCAATGGCCTTACTGCCATTGAATGCGGGGCCAGCCTCAGGCCTGTAGCCACACCACCAAGGCCAAACAGTGGGTCGTGCGGCGTGCGGCGGCCTTTGGCCGCAGCGTACCGTGCCCCAAACCCCTGCCCGCCGTGGCTGACATCCGGCCTTCAGGTAGCTGGTGTCCACGAGGCTTTGCAAGGGCTGCAAAGCGATAGGTATGCAGCCCGTGTGTAAAGATGCCGCTCACATGCGTTCAGTTGGGTGACCTTGTGGCATGCCCATTCCAGCTTAAATCCAAATTGGAGCTGCACCAATCCATGCATGATCCATGAGGACGGTGGGAGGCGTGCCGCGCGCTGAGGAGGTACACTGTTGTACACTGTAGGTTGGTTCTCAGAAGGGCACCGGCCTTCCTCAGCCCAGTCGTATTGTGGAGCCAGACAGACAAGGCCAAAGCACAGGTTTTGGTGGCGGCGCGTGGAGATGGCGGCCCTCTCGACCACCTACGCCACCGCCAGGCACTCTAGCTGCCGCTGCACTGGGGCCGACCTCAACCTGGTCTCGCTCCATCGTCCAGGCGAGCGAACGCCAGCGCCTCGCCGCTCTCGCTCCTCTCTCTCCTCTCCTCTCTGTCTCCCTCCCACGCTCACAACCACTGTGCTGCAGGGAGGGGCGATGCTAGTGTGGGCCGGGGGGCTTCCAACGGGACCTACGGGCGCCACGGGAGCAACGGGATGGGCGGGCGCTCGCAGCGTTTCTCAGGCAAGGCCTGTCCACAGGCTGCAGTGCTTGTGTTCCCTCTTTGGCTGAATGCACACTCGTGCCTGCCCACTGAACTCAGTTCAGTTTTCAAGGCTCATTTCTCTGTTGATCCCCTGGCTGCAGACAGCTCGCCCATTCGCTTCTCCGCCGGCGCCCCCCCTGCGGCGCCCCCCTCCAGCCCAAGCCGTCATCGCCCTGCGCACCAGCCTGCGGCCTCTACTGGTGACGGCATTGCCGGCGGCGGCG